TTGTCAAACCACACGTGTTATTTGTTACCTTGTTGTGAGAGGAGCTCCTTAATTACCCAGTGGCCTGCAGGAAGGGATTTACCGGCGTGTTCAGACCAACGTGGCTTCCCGGCTGGAAGCTCTTGTTCCAAAAGCATTGTCCAGTGTGTCCCAAATCCCGGGGATGGTGTCCCACTGAGCCAAGTGCTGAGGGTGATAGAGGGGGGAGCAGCCTTTCCCAAGGGTTTGGAACTGGTGGAGTAACTATTTTACCTACAGGATGTGCAGTTTCCGCACTGCCTTTTGCACAGGGCTCGAATCTCTTGCTCAGAAGAAAAAGGGAGGAAGTTGTGCTTTCTCTTCCTTGTTGGCTGCTGCTCTGTGCCCTCAGCTCTCAGGTTGTGACTGTCCCTGGTTGGTGACGGGGACCTCGTGGGAGGGGGGCTGGGCCCCGTCACCCCCCGTGTCACCTCCCATCACCCGGCGAGGGGGGATGTACAACCCAACCACTTCTGCTGCTGCGTGGGGGGGAAACTGCTGCTAAACCTGGGCAGCAGGGAGAGGCCACCACGTGACATGGCTACTGCTTTCTGGGGACAAAAAAGGGCTTTTGGAAAAGGGGATGGGATCCTACTGTGTCTGGGCAGGCTGGTGGTGCCTGCTCTGAACTAGGAGAGGCTGTGGGGGGTTCTCATGCAAAACAGGATGTGAGGGAAGTGCTGGTCCTTCTTGGTGACCTCTCTGCTCCCTCACCTGTCTGGTTTGTCCTGTTTCCTTGGAGAGACGGGGTGTTTTGGTTCCACAGGGGCTCTTCGGCAAGGTCTGGCTTTGCTGGAGTCGGGCTCTGTTCAGCCCCTTCTGCCAGCCCAAATCTGTCCAGCTCTCTCCACACAGGAGAGTGCATCCCAGGGTGTGCAGGTGCTTCCAGGCTGGCTGTGGTGAGAACTGGCAGCACCAAAGCCACCACATCCAAGCTGGATACCCATCCTGTGCTTCATCTTGCCAAAATTTGGTTACACCCTCACAAGGAAGAGCAGGAAACCTCCCAGCACTGCTGCTGTAGGAGCCAGTTTGGTGCCACAGGCAGAGACGTTTGGGACAGCGGGGCGTTTGCCTGGAGTCATTCTTAAATCATGGATGATTTTCCGGAATGGTTTCGACACCAGCTCGAGTGATGGGAAAGTGTGTGGGATGTGGGTGTGGAGGTGATTTTTCCCGGGAGAGCCGTGGTGCTCCTGTGCTGGGGCGGCCTCACCTCGCACAGCCTTGGCGGGTGGCTTGGATTGGTCTCTCTGGTGTCACCCGTGTCTCTGTGACAGTAATGGCAGTGCCACCATCCTGTGGCCCTGCTGGGGCTTTCCTGGGCTGCTCACCCTTTGCTGTGACAGCCGGTGTAGCTTTTCCACTTCCCCTCGGATCCGCGGCGCGTGCGCGCGGTCCGGGAGGGAGCACAGTGTGCAGTGGCAGCTGCATAAACCACTGGTGGCTTCTTGTGATATCAGTCATGACACAGCTCAGAAAGTGCAGGGCCTGCGATGCTCCATCATTATTTTTTCCCTTTCCTAGGAAAAGCTTGGAATGCCATGCAGCTGGTGCAGAGAGTGCCGGTGTCCCAATCCAACCATCCATGAGTGATTCCCAGTGCTGCTGCAGAGCCCCCTGGGACTGTGTGGGAGCAGGACCTGCGCCCACACAATCCCACGGGACTGGTGGCTCTGCTTGGGAAAGTCTGTCCTCTGCAGCTCTGTAATCATTTTCCGTGGCATGTGATCCTGGACAAACGTGTTTTCCTCTTGGAAAATCATGCTTCTTGCCTGCGGTGTTAAGAGAGAGTGTTGGAAAATGGCTTTTATTCCAGAGGATCTGCTCCCTCCCGCTGGCTGCAGTGGGTTCCTGGTATGTGGCAAACGGCTCTGTTAAACGGTGTCTCCCGTTGATTTTGTGGGAGCAGCCACTCCCAGGCTGTGGCTGCCACCGTTGTGCCACTTCCTGAGCCTCACCCGGGGAGCAAACGGCTCAGTGACACTGTCACACCCCCACTTGGTGACGAGAAAACACATCCAGGGGCTCCCATCCCACTGCTCCTGCCTCCCACCTCGTAGGGCCACAGGTCAGGACAGGGTTAGATGGGATATTGGGAAGGAATTCCTGGCTGTGAGGGTGGGGAGGCCCTGCCACAGGTTGCCCAGAGAAGCCGTGGCTGCCCCTGGATCCCTGGAAGTGTTCCAGACCAGGTTGGACGGGGCTTGGAGCAACCTGGTCTAGTGGAAGGTGTCCTTGCCCATGGCAGGGGTTGGAATGAGATGAGCTTTAAGATCCTTTTCAACCCAAACCATTCTGGGGTTCTGTGATTTCAAACCCCAGGGGTTTGGGCAGCCTGAGCTGGGGGATGGGGACACTCCTCGATGGCATTGCAGGAACTGTCCCATGAGAGGCGTGTGGGATGCAGGAAAAGGGATCCCAGCCTTTACCTCCCTCTGCCTCCCCAAACTGTCAGTTTGATGTGCTTGCTGCCAGTGCAGTGTCCTGTCAGCCCAGGGGGGAAGCTGTGGGACATCAGTCTCGTGGTCTCCTTTCACATCCTGAAAGAGAAATTTAATTTTCTGGGGCCATGCAAAGCGTGGGGTTCATGCAGCACTGCTGGGCAACCACAGCCCTGCTTTCTAGCCCTGAGCCCGAGTGTTTGGGTGCTCCCAGCCCCAGGGAGTGACCTGGGACCTCCAGGGTGATGATGTTCCAGGCTTGTGTCCAAGCTCAGTGGCCTCTTGAGGCTCAAGTTCTCCCAGCCACCATCCTGTGGGAAGGGGAAGGAAGAAGGGTGGCTGAAACTCTGGCCTTTGGAGATATTTTTGGAGGATGTCTCCCACTGGACAGCTGAGTCCACCCCAGGTTTGCCACTGGAGGTTTCTCCCATCCCTGTGGGAACACATGGCCCACAGACAGCACCTCCATCTTCAGGCCTGTAATTATTTGTGCCCATTATTTCTGCCCTCACGAGCTCCCATGTGGAATGTGGGGGCAGCTGAGGCCTTGTCAGGGTGACTCGGATCAGGTGGCAAAACAGAGCTCCTGCTTTGCCGTGGGCGCTTTTTTATTCCTCTTGCTCTTCTGGGTTTGGTTTTGGGGATTAGTTATAAAAAGGAAAAGGCTGCGGAAGTGAGGAGGCAGCAGTGGGCGGGAGGGAAGTGGCCTTGGGGAAGCAGCTGGGCTGGAGACGGCTCTGGCTGAGCTGGGATGTGGTTCCTGGTACCCTGCCAGGGCCGGCTGAGGAGTGCAGGACATCCCCCTGCCCGGCTGCGGCAGGACACGTGGCAGGGCCCTCTCCCTGCACACTGCCAGGAGTTCGCCCTTTTCCTTCCTCTCCCGGTGACCAGGCGGGAAAAAGGCCACGTTTCTCCCTGCTGTTCCTCGCCCTGCCCTGGAGGAGGGTTTGCTCAGGGCAGCCTTGAGGCCCCATCCCGGCACGTCCCCATCCTGGCGTGTCCCTGTCCCTGCATGTCCCCATCCCTGCTGAGCCCGCGCTTCCCATTGTGCCCGAAACCTCTGACTCATCCCTCTCTGCTCCGCTCCAGTGCAGTCCCGGGCGCGTGGCAGCCACCGGCTCACCGGCGTTTCTGTTCCCCTCTGTGGGCCAGGAACCAGCTGCTTCTCTTCCCGGTGACTACTCTTCCCACTCTGCTTGGCCTCCTCCGGAGCCCATCCTGCCTCCAGCTCCACATCAGCAGAATCCTGGCCCGAGGGCCTTGGAGCAGGGGATTAACTCCCCTCTGGATAGGATCTGTGAGTCCTAAGAGGAAAACAGTTGTGCCCCTGCTGGGGATGGACGTGTCCCTGGCTGCTCCCTGCCACCCTGTGTTCCCTGCCACCTGTATTCCAGCACCGACTTCCTTGTCCAGGATGATGCACGGACCCACTCCCAGTGCAGGCTCTTGGAATCTGGTCCAAAGCCATGGAGCGGTTTTGCTCCTCCTGCCCAGCCCAGCAGCACAGGTGCTAAATCCAGCATGGCTGGTTTTGGAACAGGGCATCATTTTTTTGGGAGGGCTTCATTTCTAGGGGGGATACATCACTTTTGTGGGACGTGCATTTTTGGGAGAGCAGCGTGGATTCAGGGGTTGCTTCCCACAGTGCTTCCCAGCGCGTGCAGGACCCTGAGACCTCCAAGAGCCCCGGCAGGAGAGCAAACCAAGTGGGATGGGGCAGGTGGGTGCTGTGAATCCCACAGGAGCTGGGAGGTTTCCACGGGAGCCAGGAGGTCCCCAGGGAAGCCGGGAGAGCCCAGCCACCCCATCCCCACCACCCACACCGTGGCTGAGTCACTCCTGCAGGCTCGGTGCTTCCTGCAGTGTTTGCACCCCCCCACCCCGATTCCTCCAAACCCTTTTAGGTGCCCAGTTTCCTTTGGATTTGAGTGCAAGGAAGGAGTTAAGCAACTACAGGCTCGTGTGGATTTGGGCCAGATATTTAAAGATCCAGGGCTGGGAAGGGAAAAGGGAGGTGTGATACTCTCCAAACGCTCCCTGCAAACACCTCGGAGGCTCCCGCTGCCAGTGCCGTCCCCGCGCTCCCGGCAGCGGCTGGTGGGGGAGAGGCAGAAAATGCCTTGCTCCTATTTTTAGCTCTTCCACGGTGTCATTAGAATAATCTGGGATTGGAGAATGTTGCCGTTCAAAATTGCCTGGGAAGGCAGAACTCAAAATGGGAAGGCTTGGGATGCTGCAGGGTGAAGGGGATGGGGATGGAGAGGGAACACGTGGCCATGGTCCAACGGGAGCTGCCCGGGGAGCGCCGGTGGTGACAGGGACGAGCTGATGTGACACAGCAATTAATAGGCATGTCCTTAATTACATCCCGGGAGAGGGGGGTTTAAATAGAGACAAGGCACCTCCCAAGGTGGGTTATCCAGGCCAGAGGGAAGTGCTCAACCCTGTGCCAGTGCTGGGGACACATTTGCAGCTTTGTCAGTGGTGCCACCGGGCTCCTCACCCTGTCCATGATGGTGTTCCCATGACAGTGTTCTCTCACTGCAGCCCTTGCAAACACCCCTCTGGAGCCTGGTGTGTAGGGAATAAAACCCATCAGGAAGAGCTGAGCTAAAGGGAGGAGCTCAGCAAGGCCTGGTCAGGGAATGTCCCGCTGAACCAGGAGCAAACTGGTAGGAACTACACCCAGAATCACCCTGCTCCGAGCCAAAGCTCCTGCAGGAATCACAGCTCTGGCCACACTCCGCCCCTCACGGATCTCCCGCCCTCCTCCTCCTTTGCCCCTTGGACAATTGGGCAAAGTCCAAAGCTAAACATTAGCTCAGGTCTTGAAGCACCTGCTGATGTGCCACCCTCAGCCATTCCCTGGCCGGTTGGATCTCGTCCCCTTGGACTCAACCTCCACCTCCACGTGTTTCTCCCCCTGATTTAAGGTGCTTCCTGATCCTTCTGTGACCTCCTGGGGCCAACCATCATTTATTCACCTTTTCCCCTGATCTATGCCCCGAAAAGCAGCATCTCCCTGCTGACACATCCCTGGTGGTCCCCACAAAACCCCCTTCCCAGTACCTGTGCACCCTCCAGTTCCTCTTGCCCCCCTCCTCCTTTCTATCCCATGAGCTTCACCATCCCAAAAATACCTGATTTCACATCCTGATCTTGCAGCTCAAGTTCATCCTGGCAAAGACTACAAGTCCAAACAGTTGGGTGTTTATTTGGCTGCACTGTGGTGGGGGTTCACCACGACTGTCCTGAATTTGTGGTACCTCCATCATGAGCCCTTTTTTTTGGCAGACTGGATCATAGGAAAAGAGTTCGTGGCTTTGGGGGTCGTGGCCAGGTTGGGGAGCATCCTTCCCATCCCCACCATTCCCTGTGCCAGGTCAGAGTAGGACCAGAACATCTTCCTCTGCCACCAGACATGAAATGGAGCTCAGAGGCTCGTGGAAAACCCTGAGCAAGTGGATATTGGGTCTTGGAGGCTGAGTGGGACCCATGTGGGTGTTTGGAATGGGGTCTTGGAAGCTGGTACTGCAACCAAGCCAACTGGGAAAATGGGAAAAAGAGTCACCCCAGGCAGAGTAACAGGCACAGCTCTCAGAGCACCTCCCCTCCCTCACACCTTGCCTGGATGCACCTCCCAGCTCTCACAAGGTCCTTTTTTGGGGGGAATAAAGCACACTGAAGGGCAAGGATGGCTCCTCTTGACTCCCAGTGGTGCCATCCCACACCATCCATCCCAAGGGACCTCGTGGCTCCATTTGAGCACCCGCTGGGCCTTGAGGGTGGAGTGTGATCCTTGCACAGTTAATTGGATTTGGCCACTGTGACAGAAGGGCTGGGGATTAGGGAGCAGGGGAGGAATTACAGGCGGGGGCGGGAGCTGCCCTTGGGGTCTTTTGTCCCAAGGGATTATTGGCAGGACTGATGGATGGGGTTGGAATCATGTTCGGGATGGTCGGTGTAATCCCTTGTGGCAGCGATGTGGGTGGCCCTGGGGATGGGCATGGGGGGCTGAGGGATTCACCCCTTCTGTGGACAAACTTCCAGCTCTTGTCGGGACACAGGATGCTCCAGGTGCTGCTCCCACATCCAAGTGATGGGAAGGGCCATGTCCCGCACCGTGACCTCTCCAAATGGATCAGCAGCTCCTTAAACCCACACAATAACCACTAGCAAACCACGGAATCATCCTTTCCTGATGTCCTCTGGAATTTCAGAGTAGCCAGGCATGTCCTAGTGCAGCCCTTTCCGAGCCTCTTTAGCTGCTGCTGTTGGCTGTTATCCTCAGGGTTGGATCCTGCCCTTCCTGGGACAGGGGGTCTCTAAAGCAAACAGGGACCCCAAGGTGAGGTGAAGGGGTGAGATACTCTCTGGAAGGGGATGAGATTTCTGTTCCCAGCAGCTGGAGGTTCCCAGTGGGTAGGAAACACCAGAAATGCCCAATAAAGGGATTGTGGATGTGGGTTTCAGCCCCACAAGGGTAGAGGAGCATCACAGGGATATCCTCTGATATCCCTGCCCTGCTTTTCCAGAGCACCTGGAAGGCCTCATTTCCTTGGAAATGAGTGGGAAGTGAGCTCCCTAAATCCTCTGGACATCAGTCATCCTGCTGCCAAACTTGTCAGGGCAATCTAGCTGGAGGGGACACACAGCAACCCCAATGCACTGGCCACAAACACCTAATTAGGGTTAAAATAGCAAAAGGAAAGTGTGGTAATGCTGGCACTTGGGATTTTGGGCAATTCCAGGCTTAGGGAGAGCAATGGATCTGCTCTGGGTCATCTGCAGGCTGATAAATCAGCTGGAGCACAGATGATCCTCTGGAAAACCAAAATTCAGGAGAAACTAGTGGAGGCAAGAGAGTGATATCGGATGGTAGCTGGAAGTCACCAAGTCATGTCCCTGCTCAGAGGCCACCAAGGCATCCCCTGGAATGACATGTCAGGCAAACTCAACTTGTTGAGGCAGTGACAGAGAATTCCAGGGGCAAATCCCAGGGATTTGGTGACCAGCAGGAGCCAGGTCAGACCGTATCAAAAGTCACTCCTTATCTCCACAGGACACTGCCATCCTCTCACATCAGGAAGGTCTTCCCATATTTAATTTGGGAGACTGGAATGAGCATGGCTTGTCCTTGCCAGAGGAACCAGGCTGGTCATGCAGGACCCAAATCCATCTGGGAAGGCCAGGGGTAGCGAGGGAGCTGCTCGGAGCAGTCTGAGCCAGGCAGGGCAAGTTGGAGCAGTCCAGGAACAGGTAATTCCTGCTGCACCTCGTGGCAGGGATTACAGGCGGAGCCGCTGGGGCCGGAATGCTGGGGCAGGACGGAGGGAACCCTGTGCTCCAGCTGCATAAAAAAGGGCTCCAGCCATAAAAAAAGGAGGATGAGAGGCTGAGGGAGGCAGGAGAAGTGGAGGTGCCCTTCCTACTGAGTTTGCTCCGGGTGCTCAGTAAAGCCTGGGAGTGGTGGGAATCGGGACACACAGGCACCAGCCTGAGGGTGTCTGGAAAACTTTAAGGAATCTCCTTTTCCACCCAAAATTCCCAATTTCTCAGCCAAGCCCTGCCATCAGTGGGTTTGGCAAAGGCATGAATGAGATTCACTCAGGGAAAACCAGGAGCTTCCATAGGGACGGGGTGGCAACATGTGGCCTTGGAGTGCACTGGGAACCAGTGTGGGGTCTGTGTTCACGGGACAATGTCTTTGGCCAGCGGGATTTTTCCCCCAGGAGAGCTGGAGGGTTTGACAGTGCCCACCGTGCAGGAGTTAATTGGGTTTTCTTTCTGCTAATTGTGAGGGGAAGGGAAGAATGCCCTTAATTAATGGGAGGGCAAACCAGCCGTGCAGAATGGGCTGGATCCACCAACCCATGCACAAAAAAATCCCAGCTCTCCCCCTCGCCATAGCAACGGGGAAATGCAGGGTATCCTGCTTGTTCAGCCAAAAAAACCCCCCCGGAATACCCTCCTGGGAAACACGTTACCCTCACCGGCGAGTGGGACCTTCCCAGGGAAAACTAAGACTCAAAGTAATATTTTTCAGGGATTAAAAGACTCCTGGGGAGGTCTGGGTGCGAGGAATGGTTGGATTTGCCTGGTGCTGATGAGCACTGACGGGGTCTGATGGGACCTGTCTTGGCTGGAGGTGTCTTGTAAGGCCCTGGGAAGGACGTTTGGTCCAGGAGGAATGTTGTTCATCCCAGGTTCTCCCACCTCTTCCTGGCGTGCCCTAAATCCGGCTGTAAGGGCAGAGGGGTGGGAGGACCGTGTTCCCCTCTGCATAAATAATAATAAAAAGTCTGCAGTAAGTGTTAAAAAAATTCATTCTTGTGAATCAAACCTTGGGAGCAGAGGAAGGCTTGGGAGAGACCCCAGAGCTCGCCTCCGCAGCCGCTCCCAGTGGGAATTTAGATGTTTTCTCCTCTTCCATTCCAAGCCTGAAACATCCCTGCCGGGACAGCTGGTTCCACAAGCCCAGAAAAAAAAAAAAAAAATAACAACCCACCCCATGTGAGTATGAAAATCATATTGAAAAGAGCTGAAATTTAATTAGGTCACATCCTTGTGATCTGGTGATGCAAATCAGCGCCTGGCACTGCCTGGAAAATGTGACAGCGGTTAATGAGGAAAGCACGCCGGTGGGATTTCCCTCCGAAGCTGGACAGCTGGGGAAAACATCAGGAAAACTTCATACCCCTCTGGATGGCTGGGAGGTGAAACTCTCCTGCAGGTCTGTTTTGGGCTTGGAGCAGAGCTGTGGCCACCACCCAGGGCTGTGGTGCAGACGACGCTCGTCGGCACCGGGACAGAGTCAGTCACTGGTGCCGTCATTCCCACTGGAGCTTTTCCAAGGAGGCAAATGGGCACTGTCAGCTCCCCAGGTGTGGATGTGGGTCAGTATTGACCCCCTCATTCACCTACACCTGCCATGGATTGAGGATTGGGTGTGGAATTTCATGCTCCAGTTTGCGGCGCCAACGTCTCCGTGTCGGGGCTGATCCCACCCTTATTTTGGGGGAAAACCCAATGTTTTTGCATGACAGTGTCCAGGAGACTGTGCACATGCCAGGTGTAAATCCACAGGGAAATTTTGCTGCTGCCCTCCCTGTGAGACCCCCTGGGATTACTCAGGATCTTCCATATCTCTTGCAGCGTCTGGGACCAAAAAGCTCTCCACTTTCAATTTGGCAGCCACTGGAAAGTGAAAGGGAAACCTTCTCCCAACCCCAGCAGCAGCTTTTCCCCCACATTCCTGTGATCCAGCCTCCTGTGACCCCACTGCAGATGTCTCAGATATTTGCAGACGCTTTTAGGGCTCGGTTTGGGACGAGAAAGCCAGGCCACAGCTCTATTGCTTGGCAACAGATTTCCTTCCCAAAAAATCCCACCCCAAACCCAAGTGTTATATTTAATTCAGTGGGAAGGCAACGCCCTGTGAACACTGTCAGGGCAGCCCGGGCTTTGTGGAGGGGATATTTTGGGAGGATGGGGGTTGGTTCTGGGAAGACACAGCTGTGAGATGGGGGGGGTGCCCCCCAAGGCTTCCTACTCATGTAAAGAAAGGGCAGAAATGCCCAGATCCAGTCCCTGGGTCTCCCATAAACCAAGAGAGGACGGTGTGTCTGTCCAAAAGATCATATGATGGCACCAGGAGCCACATCAGAGCCTTTCCTTCTTGCCATGACCAGAGAAGCTGTGGCTGCCCCATCCCTGGAAGTGTCCGAGGCCGGGCTGGATGGGGCTTGGAGTAACCCCCCATGGCAGGGGGTGGAATGGGATGGTCTTTAAGATCCCTCCCAACCCAAACCATTCTGGGGTTCTACACTGTGTAATGTCTTTGGGTTTATCGAGCCCATAAAATCTGGGATCCATCGAACATCAGTGTAGACAAACCTTTGCAATTTATTTATACACACACAGATGTAAAAATATAGATGTAGGAATCTTTGCAGTTGGAGCCAGCAGCAGTCACTGGGGTTTTCTCCTTTCCCTGAGCTCCCCCCCCAGCACAGATTTAGACTGAGATCTAATTTAGATCCACATTTAAAGGCATTTTGCTTCCAGCTCCAGGCTGACCACGGCCCCACGCACGGACTGCAGCCAAGCTGAGTGTGTTAGAGGTTGGCTCTGCTACAGAAACATCATCCCATTCTTTTTTCCGAGAGCTCCAAGCTGACAAAGCAGCTGGCCTGGAAAGATGCTCAGGGAGCTCTGGTGCTGGACAACCCAGCCCTGGCACTTCTGGTCCTCCCACTCCAGGTGGCCTTTTCCAGATATATTCTGGTGGGAGGGAGCGGGCGGCACAGATCCCGCCAAAGCTGATGGAGAGGTTTTGGACCTGCTGGAAGATGCCAAACCCCCATCCTGCTGCTCCTCCCGGAAAATGGAGCCCCCAAAACCAACACCCCATGTGCTTCCCCCTCCCAGCACAGGCAGGGCCTTTGCCAGGACAGGACACGACAGCACAGCTGGAGTCTGGATTTCCTGGTGTCTTCTGGAAGCAGCTTCACGTCTTGCATTAATTGCTTTCTTAATTACCCTCGTCCCCCTCCGTGGCGTCTCCCGAGGAGCGGATGACACGCCTGTTGGACACGCTGGATCGCCCGGGTTTTCTTCCCAGCCCCGTTTATTTATTAGCCAGCGTTCCCTTCCCAACTAACCGGATTTAATATTTTTGTTCCAGTTGGCCAAGGTTTTATTGACCGTGGAGAGGCAGAAATCGCTGCCACACGCCCTCGGAGACGCCGAGGTCAGGATGGAGCACCCCGTGGCCATCCCAGATCCAAAGGGGACTGAGGAAGCAGCAGCCTGGACATCATTTTTCCCTCCGTGCTGCTCCCAAAAGCCTGGCTGTTGGCACTTAACTTACTCCAGACACACTGTATGTGCACATACATTCCTTGGCCATGCGGTCAGACCGGAAAAGATTGCCTTCAGCCCAGGAACCGCAGCGGGAAGGAGGCTGGGAAGAGCTGTGCAGGCACCGAGGCGGGAGCGCTGCAGCCTCCAGAAAAGCTGCAGTCAACACTTTTTTTTTTTAGGAGCCGTGGTGCTAAAAGAGGAACCGCTGCGGGACACGCGGTTGGAAAGGCTGAGATGGCTGAGGGGGGGGAAGGAAGTGCTTTTATTCCGGCAAAATCCCTCCTCCCTCCTGAAAATCTCCCTGCAGGACTTTGGGCAGCACGAGGAGCCCCTTTGGGTCGGAGCCCCTCCCAGGATCCCGCTCCATGAGCACTGACATGGATCCAGCTGCTCCCAGGAGCCTGGATTTTGTCACCTCTCCCACTGACATGGCTCAGTTGAAGGGTGTCTGAGAGCACCTCACCCAGCCAGGGCTCACTCCAAGTGCCCACACCATATTCCTGGTTGGAATCACAGCCAGATCCGGGCACCATCCCTTACACTCACATGGATCAGGGCAGGGTGGTTTCTGAAGGGTGGCAGAGTCACAACCCCCACAGGGAGAGTTTTGCTCCCAATCCCTCAAGCCTGATTCCACTCCCTGCTCCCACCAAACAGCCCTCTGAGCTGCCATTGGGAAGTTTGGCATCCCGCATCCCCAAAGCAGCTCCAGGCCCTGACCAACGGGAATTTTGGCAACACCAGCGTGGTGTCACAGCTCCAAGCACTGGGTGTTCCCAGCCGAGTTCTGCGCTTTGCTGGGAATCACCACAGCGGGATGGGATGCTCAGGAGCTGTGGCGGGAGCGGGGCTGAGCCCTCAGATCCCCCTGGATGGCACGAGGCTTCCATGCTCAGACATTCCAGCGCGGCGCTGCGCCGGGCTCGGAGCGCGTCAGTCACTCACCGGTGCCGCACCGGAATTTGCATAATTCCAATTATGTTTCCAAAACGGGGAACGGGCTCTGACAACAACAACTCTGCAGTGCCTTGAACAATCAGAGAAGATGGGAAATCGTTGTTTTGACGGCCCTGCAAGCGCTTTCCGCCGGCAGAAACTCAGCGGGAAAGGATGCGGCATTCCAAGTTTTCCCAATGAAACCAATGGAAATAAATGTGTTTGAGGAAGAATGAGCCTCCCCCAGGCACTGCTCTGCCTCTCTGTCCTCCCATCCCTGCAGCCCCCGTCCCCTTCCTCCCCCCCAGGAGCATCCTGGCTACCTCACCTCCTGCCTTTCCCAATTTTCTCCTGCACCCGGAGGCAAAAGAAAACCAGGAATGACGGAGCCGGTTGGATCTGCCGTTGGTGTGTTGAGCCATCGCTGCCAAGGAGGCGGGAGCAGCAGGATATTTAATCTCCATGAGTCACCTCTCCCTCCCTATCTGCCATCTGCAAGTGCTCCAGCCTGAACTGCAGGTTTGGGATCGGGCTGCTCCGGCCCCACGCAGCTGAGGATATCCCGGAGCCTTCCTTAGTGCAAGCTGGGGATGCCGGGGATTTGGCAGATGTTAAACACATCCACGGATCCAACGCCTTAAGTAGCACCTGGTTTTCCCAGGGTGGGTGCTGGGAGGTGGGATAGAGCCCAGGAGGAAGCTGTGGGTGCCGGAGGCCTCTTCTCCAGACAACGGAACCGGCGGCAAAACACTCCGTGTCTGTCGTGGAGCGCCCGCGGTTAATTGGCAACACAAGGGAGGAGGGAGCTGCGAGGAGAGACATCAGTTCATAAACCCTCAAGTGTTGGGAAGCTCCAGATTTTCCAAAGGCCCAGAAGTTACATATGCATCAGGCTGCCCAGAAACTGGCAAACTCCTGAAGGAGTTAATCCGCAGATCCCGCTCTCGGATGCCAGAACTCCTCCAGTGTCAACGTGATTAACCAGTTTCACTACTCGGGGAGTTTCCGGGGGGAGCAGGAGTGCTGGAGAGCCTGGGAGAGGGGAAAGAGGAGCTATGGAGCCCCTTCTCCCCCATGTCAGTGTTCCAGGGGACCACTGGAATGGTGAGGAGGCAAGAAGTGTTGGAGGAAGAGGTTTCAGGCTGTGACCTGGAGGCCTTGAGTCAGGGAAAGCCACAGGCAGCTCCCAACGAGGTGGAAAAGCTGCAGCTTGTCCTCGTGAGGAGCTGCATCCCCCTTCCAAAATCATAAGGGCCATGGTGGAAAGAGAAGTTGGGAAGTTTTGGTACTGTGGTTAAAAGCATAACCTCCCATCAAGGGGAAAATGCAGAGGAGGATTTCTCCACGGGGAATCAGCCAAACAGGTACGGCAGGAGCGAGATCCTGAGATTGCAGCTGCCAGGCTGCAGGCAGCGTTCCTTAAAGGAAAACACATCACTGCCCAGGTCTGCAGTATTCCCAGCCCTCCCTGGAGAGGCCGGAATGCTGCAGCCAATGTGGCCAGAAGCAGGTCCTGGACAGAGCAGTGCCGCAGGAGAGCAGCAGGAGCTCCCAGATCCCAGCCTGGATGGTGATCCTGGCTCACAAACGCCACATACTCAGGATGTTTGGAGGCAAGGGCTGGAGGACTTTGGATTCATTAGCAAGTCCAAGGCTGTAAGAGGAGCCAGAGTGAGATGTAGGGACAGCTCGTTGGCAGCGATTCAACGCCTTCCACCCCAGCCCTGCTGAGCTTGGCTCATCTTCCAGTGGGCAGGTGCCGGGGAAGCTCGTCCCAAACCTTTGTGCCGGGCAGTAAGGACTCACCCAGCACACCAGCACTGTCTGTCCTGCTGCTGCCCCTCACCTCCCTCTCAAAATGCTTTTATTTCCTGTGCTGACATGAAAACCAGTCCCACGTGGGTCATCCCAGCCCAGAACACTCATCATATTGAAAATATGAGTAACTATGATATATATATATATATATAGGGTGGAATTTAGACATTTAAACACGATGCAATTTGAACACTTAACAGACAGACTTGCTCTGGAGGGAAAGGCAGAGCCAAATCCCTGTTTCCCTGCTCTCCACAGCATGAGGGGTGTGCTGGGCTTGGTTACAGTCAGGGCAGCAGCCTGGAAGCCGCAGGTACGTGATAGGAAAAGCTTCCTAGAGAGCTGGGTGAGTTCCAGGCTAATCCAGCCCCTGTGGGGAGAGGAGCCCTGGCAGATGTTAAGTTATGGGATAACTGCACCGGCGCATCCCGGTCCGCTGGAAGTTACCAGCCACGGGGTTGTGCTGCTCCACGACAGCCCCGCCACTTCCCAAGGGAAAATGTACAAAGCTCCTCAGGGAGAAAACAGCAAATATTAACAGCACGAGGACCACGCAATCCCACGTTCCACGGGCAAAGTGCAAAGTCCCCTCGGGAGCGAGCGCCAAGCCAGCGGTGCTGCCCAGGCAGGAGCTGTCAGCACCAGGCCCTGCAAACCCTGGGGCTCCCACCCTTCATGGCATGGGTTCGTTCTCCAAATTACCAGCTTGAAATGAACGGCAGAGGTATTCTGGGGTTCTGTTCCTCTCCATCCAGGCGGGTGCCGTGCTCTGAAGGATCCCCAAGAGCATCGCTGCAGCTCAGCCCAAAATGTGAAATAAAAGTGCATTCCCATAAACCAGCCAAAGAGCCATCGGATCAGCGCAGTGTTTGCTGCAGCTTTCTGTGGATTTTCATCTCCTGCAATGCTGAGGGAGAAAACCTCCCCTCCTGCTCTATCAGAATGAAACTTTGGGATGAAGCCGGTGCCTGGCCCAGGCAGCATTACACCCATTATAGTACAAACAAGGAATCCATTCTAGGCACAGACACAGGGATAATTTAGGAGTTCATAGGACCAGAATCCCAGAATGGTTTGGGTTGGAAGTTACCTTAAAGACCATCCAGTTCCAACCCCCTGCCATGGGCAGGGACACCTTCCACTAGCCCAGGTTGCTCCAAGCTCCAAGCCTTGGACACTTCCAGGGATCCAGGGGCAGCCACAGCTCCTCTGGGCAACCTGTGCCAGGGCCTCAACCCCCTCACAGTCAGGAATTCAGGCTGTTTTCTACACCTTGGCTCCCTCCTCTCCTCTGTTTAACCACCGAAGGAGTTTTCACCCACTGAAGGGCAATTTGGGCACCAGGATACCTCTACAGATCCAGGAGTTGCTGGTGGCACCCCTGGGAGTTGTCCTCACCTGAAAACTCACAGGGAAAACAAAGTTTTTTAAGTGCTACCAATTTCCAAGCATCACCAACTTCCATCTCTCAGGACACCCATTAAACCCTGCTGAACTATTTTTCCTAACTAAAGCTGTCCTGGGAGACGCAACTAAAGAAACCAGGAGCAGAGGAGTGAAGTGCATCCTCTGGAAGGGAAAACTTGAGAGGCAAAGCAGGAGCCAGAGCCTGTTAGACCGCTGTGAGACTCAGCAGATGAGTCACATCTTGACTCTTTTCTTTCCCCCCTCCTTTTTTTAAGGAGGCCAGAGATACCTGTTCTTAAGCAAGAGCAGAGGCACTTCCTGGACAACCCGCCGCACACCCCATTTCCCGCCTGTAAAAACCACCTTCCCCACGAGCTCCCCGGGCTCTGACTCAGCCCTGCACCCTCCAGAGCTAACACAGGGCTAAAATTACACCATTCTGCTCTCTGGGTGCTCCCAGTTTTGAAAGTGAGCTGGACTGTGGGGCTCCACCTCGACCTGAAGCCCTGAGAGCGTCGGTTCAGACGTAATTCCGAAACACAGCCCTGAGCGGTGCCGGGGCCGCGCGTGGGACCCCAGAAGAGGAACTGAGTTAGTCAGCAGAGGGGACACTCTCTCACCAACAGCCCCTGGAAGCTGATTCTTCCCCATGAGGTGAGGGGGAAGCTTTTCTTTTTCATTCCAGAAAGTTCCAAAGCCGAGGGGATTTCAGATTCCACACGCTGAGCCCTTCAGGCTGGACAGATACGGGAAGCAAATCCAAGATAAAAAGCACAGTTGTGCTTTAGAGGGAAGTCTGAGTCACAGTGCTCACACCAAGGCTGCTTCCACTCTCTGCAGCGAGCTCTCCACTCCTGGCAGTAGCTTTTCCCATTCCCAATTCCCAGTGAGAAGGGATATAACCACAGGTCCACCACCGGCTCCCACAGACTTTGTGTCCAGCTGTTCTGAGAACATTTTTAAAGCAAGACATTCCTTTAGGAGGACTTGGATTAGCAGGGGTAATCTCGCATTAGGAACGGCAGGCACACTTTTTCCAAGCCCTGTCCATGAGGATCAGAGCCCTGTGAGTGAGGGCAGAGCCCTGAGTGAGTCAGGCAGGGTGCAGTGCAGTTTGGAGTCACGCTCCCCGCAGCCTGATAAGCGCCGGCATTTTGAGATGTGACTCACTACTACAACGAGAGAGACACGAGTTTCCCCCTCTGGAGCCCTGTCTCCCAACTCCAAGGAGTTTAATTAAGCCAGAGTAAGTTCATTTACACAGCCACACCCTGAGCTGACATCCAGGTAGACAGAGCCCGAACGCCCTGGAAGGGGAAGGCTTTGTGGGGGATCCACCACCCCTGAGCCCAGGGACTCCCACCTGGCTGGATAACCACGGAATGGTTTGGGTGGGGAGGCACCTCAAAGACCATCTATTCCCAACCCTCTGCCACAGGTAGGGATGCCACTGACTAGCCCAGGCAACGATGCTTCCAGAGGATTCCCAAAAGCTTTGCAACAAGGAGACAGTTCCCAGACTCGGCCTCACACCTGGAGCTGTGGGAGCCACCTCGGAGACTCTGTCAGCAGAGCCTGAGCAGCCCAGCTCCAGGCTGTGACCCTGCTGCCTCTCCCATGGGATGGCAGCTGTCGCAGTGTCCGTATCCCGCTGCTCACATCCCGGCCCCCCCACAGCCCCAGCACCTGCCCAAGTCCTTTTATCGGCTCACTCGTGTCCTGCTCAGGCACCACAGAGCCCCAGCGTCACATCTGTCGCTCCACAAGCACCTCGAGTCACTCAGCAGCCCTTCTGTCCATCCCTGCGTGTCCTACACCGGCCTCCTGTCCTCCCTTTCCAAGCAATTCCCTCCGTGGAACAGCTTCCCAAGTTACGTGGGGCTGGCACCGAGGCTGGATAACCCCGACACTGAAATTTGCTCGAGATTATTAAACGCCAAGTGGGAATATCAAAGAAGCACCATCCTCTTCCACTTATAAAAATAGTCACTCATCTAATTCTCCAAGGAATTACAGCCAGGCTTCCGAGCTGGGAGATCCAGAACAGAGCCCTCTTTATCTCAGCACAACGCCACCAGATTGCCCCTTTCTGTTTCTCCCGTAATTAAATATAAGTAACATACCAGGAGAGCTCCGCTGTGTAATTGCTTTATTTTTCTGCTTAGTAGTTCTTTACCAACACTACAGCCATATTGAGAACACAGAATTCCTGGTTACTCCAGTCAGGGGGGGTCACAGGCCACAAACTCAAGTCACTGGTCGGACACGATTTTGACGCCACTCAGAACTTACTCCACAGAACTCACACGGACACAAATCGACGCGCTTGGGACTCCAGATGGGTTTGGAAATCACCGGGTTTCGTACAGGGTTCCCACTTTATCCTGCCTGTGAGCCACTACCTCGTGGTGGAGGTTCAGCTACAGCCTAGAAAGGACATGTTGGAAGTGAAACCTGTGGGGTTTGTTCGGTACCGACGGCCCTTTATTTTTGACGTCTCTGCCACGTCTTTCAGTAACTTTTTCTCCCCCTTTCTCCTTCCCCCCTCCCCCCCCACCCCCCCCCCCCCCCCAAAAAAAAAAAAAAACCAAAACCAAAACATTAAAAAAAATTCCAGAAGCAAAAGCAGTTTCCTTTCACCTACAAAAACAGAATAACAAAGTCACTAAGGGAATACAAAGTTGTGAAGTCAACGCAAAGGCTGCCCCAGCACTTGGAAACACAGGAAACCAACTCAGACGAAAAATGAAGTTACTGAAGTTTTCATGTTGACTGAGAATAGGTTTAAGAAAGTTCAAGAACCATTAATAGAGCTTCAAGTTTTCCAGTTTAGGCATTTACTTTGTGCTTGGCTATTTTATTGATGCTCCAGAAGAAAACAGTAACCATACTCTTGTATTTTTTTTTTTTTTAGATTTTTTATACCACCACTCTTTTTTTAAAAATTTACAACAACAAGAAAAAAAAAAAAAAAAAGGAAAATAAAAGCTAGAAAATAGAGCAATGATTTTTCCAACGGCAAAAAAGCCTTGGATTAAAGTAAACTAATCCCACTTCCTCTTCTTTAGGGCTGAGATTGAAGAGTTATTTCTACATTGAGCTTCTTCAGACTCCCTAACTCACAGAGTCCATCAGTGCTCTATCTTCTAGCACCAAGAACCCATCCAGTCCCATTTGCAACCCACATCCAGACAAGTCTTTTTGGAACCATATTCTAAAAGGACCTCGAGCAAAGCATTGGATTTCAGAAGTGAATTCAGGATTTTTTTGTCTTCCCACACATCTTTGGTAAGAGCTCCATAATACAACGTACTCTCCATGCAGAGTCACCACTGCAGCAATGTAGTGTAACGCCCCCAATTCCATGTAAAACTCATATTCTTGGAAAAAAAAAAAAACAAACAAAAAATTAAGGAGAGATTTAAAAAAAAAAAAGGAAAATAAAAGCCATTTTCTTCTGGTTTTGTAGCATACATTCCTAGAATTCCCCACCGGAGTTCTAACTCCTTGAGGAAATCTGAAGTTAATCCTTAAGGCTGAATAAGAACCAGCTGCTTTTAACAGTTTGTGCACCCAGCGTTAATTAATACTTGATTGAGTTTTTTATGCAAATACTCGCCCTGGGTGGGGTTTTTGATTGGCCAGTCACCTCTACAGGCTGTGACATGGCTAACGAGCTGCTTGCCCTTTAAGAACTAATTATGGAAGTTTACATTCAGCGTCGATTCTCTCTCTCTCTCTCTTTCTCTCCCCTCCCAGCTCTCATTAGTAGTTACTCAATGGGCTTCACACATCCAACATAGTTCCCTTTCCTACAGGACTACAGCAACAACCGGGACACATGGGAGGCTCCAGCTACTCGCAGGAGCTCGGTCCAGGCTTGGAAAACTAAAGCAAGAAGTGATTTCCTCAAAATGGCCATAACTGATGTCAAAACCACCGGGCTCGAGTCGAGCTCAGCGCGGAACTCGCCCCTTTTCTCAAGGCTCCAACATGGAAAAAATAATAACAATAACAACAGTTTCCTTCTTTCTGTTGGAAAGGACCAGGAATCCTTTTAAGGTAGAGGCGAGTCAGTGCTGGATTTTTGCCTAAACATCTGCGACTTAAAGCAAAACTCGCTGCAACATTTGTAACGCTGCGTCTGCTTTTGGAAGGAACCTCCACTCGGGGGACCGGCACCGAGTAGCAAAAAACTGCAACTAAACGTCATTTTAAGACAAAAAAAAAACCCCCCTGACCTGGAACTACGGACATCGTTCCTGTCTCGCTCGCTGTGTGGTGCGGGGAGCTGCTTTGCATCCCCTCCTCATGCATGATGTATGATGGGGCAGAGCTCCCCAGCTGACACTCCAAAAGCAGTTCTTAACACTTCCCGGCGCCCGATGTGCACTTCGAAACACACGTTAACAGTGGAATTCCCACTCTCTGCCACCGCAGGCAAGAATTCCCCTCGTTAGCCTGAGCCGTGGAGCCAGACCGAGTCGCTGTTTAGTTACAGATTAACAGAACTTTTCTTTTTTTTTTAAAAAAAAAAAAAAAAAAAAAAGAAGAAGAAAAAAAAGTCCTTAATATAAAAAGACAGACTGCGGTTTGATTTTAAGCAATAATTTTCAGTTTACTAGATGAAGTCGACCTAGCAACATATCCTGCAGGAATGCAAAAAAGTAGCAATCTACAGCAAAGTGAGAGAGGGAGAGGAAAAAAAAAAAAAATAAAATATATATAATCAAAAAAAGTAGACCCAGAAAGCATACATTGAAAAATGGACCCACTCCCCCAACATCCCCCCCAAAATAATTCAAACCAGCAAAGGGCTATCGAGAGGAAACAACAACAAAAAAGAAAACCAACAACAAAAAAAAAAAAAA